CACACAGCTCTGTAAACTCATCCAACAATTAAAAGGGGGGAGGGGTGGAACAAAAAGGAGACGGATAGTAACTGGGGTGAGCGAGGCAGGAGGGGCGTCCGGGGCGTGGGTCCCTTCCCTCTCCCCCGTCGGCAGCAGGACAGCACCTTGTGTCACATAAGCAGCTGGCCCGGAGTTCCGCTTGCGGGGTTCTGAGAATTCAGAACTCCGAGTTTTCTTCCATTTGAGCTGCACTCTTGTCCCTCCTTATTTCTCCCTTAGAAATCGAGGGGCCCATCCGCAGAGCCAACGTAGCCATCTCCGGTGGCCACCCGAAGTCCTGAGATGCCTGCTCGGACCAATTTGGATATTTGCTGCCCTTGTTTTGGTTAATTGTGTATGTGTTTGCTCTGTTTGTGTACCATCAAATACCTTCTGCTTTGGGCGGACCCGTCGTAGGCTGTGTGAGATCACGGATGAAAAATGCAGTGAAAAACACTTTCGTGCCACAACACATCATGTAGGATTTTTGTATTAAGATGTGGATTTTTTTATTGTTTTTTTTTCCCCCCTTTTCCATACAGCCTGAAGTTGGGCAATGTACACGTCTGTGTTTTTGTTTTCACTCCCGGTGGTTTATGAAATCTGCTCATTAGGGCTCTGTCCTGCCCCCATCCTGGCCTGATCTTTCAACCCTTTATCCTCTCGGGTGTAGATCTTTCCCTGTCACCTCCTGTTGTCTTCTTTCCTTTGGGGAGATGCTGGGCCCCCTCACCGTATGCATTCACCCAGATGAAAATCAGAAGTTCCTGTGTCCCTGCTTCTCAGTCCCACATCTCCTTGGCAGAGGGGCCTGGTAATAGGAGGTCCCTGTGTGGAGGAGGCAGCAGAAATCTCTGTGCCCCTTACCCCCCTACGCTCATTCCCCCCGGGGGAGCCCCCTTGCTTTCCCCCCCCCCCCCCCGCCACTCTTGCTGGTTTGGAGAGAAGAAATGGAAGCTGTTGCATTCCCACAGAACCTTCTGACTCAGAGCGGCCTTCTTCTGGGTGGCCTTCCTGTCCCCATCTCACCAAATGACAGCAGTGGGCGGCTCAGCCCCTTTCCCCTCCAGGAGGCCATGCCCTTGGCTGGGACCCATTTACCAAGTAGCTTCAGGTGTTTCTCCTGCTCCCCAGGCACCTCCCCATAGGCCTCACTTGCCCCCATTCACAGCCCAGCCAGAAGGAAGCACGTAAGCATGACCTTTGTCTTCCCTCTGGCTGTGACCTCTGGGCGCTTCCTGCTGGCTCTAGGGGGTTTGAGGGAGAACTGTCTGGGGGCAGGAGGACTGAGATCCAGGAGCAGAAAAAGCCTTAGGTATGGGTCGATGCTGAGACCAGGGGTGGGGACAGAGGGGAACTTTCATGTGAGTTGGGCCTGGGAGCCTGTCAGCCCTGAGTCCAGGCCTGAGCCGTGTGACCTTTGGCAAGTCACTTCATATCTCCGTGCCTCCCTTCCCTAATCAATCCACGGGGACTCTAGTCCTTCCTACCTTGCGTTGTAAAGATGTGGCGAGATCACACGTGTAGAACACTTAGCACGGGGCTTGGTAAATAGAAGGCATCACGTGGACCTGTTGGCAGAGGGTGAAAACCGCTCAGCTGGTGTGCCCTGCACTCCCGGCATGCTCTCCGTCACATAGGAGCTGCTCAGTCCGTTCTACTGGCATCAGTCGGGGGAGGATCGGGTCACCAAGCACTCCCCTTGAACCTGGGAGTTGTTCGTTCGCAGTGCTGATGCAGGAATGAGAAGATCTAGATGCGGGTGGGGGCTTAGGGGAACCAGAGGGAGTGGAGCAGGAAAAACGGCCGTGGAGTGTTCTGTCATTAGAGAGGGAGGAAGCTGTGCCGGGCCCATCTGATTGTGACGTGAGATCAGGGACATGAGTTCAGTTCCGCAAACACCTACGCTGCCCACCGTGGGCCAGCTGTTGTGCTAAATGCTGCGGACACAAAGATAATTAGGACCTGGTCTCTGCACTTGAGGAGTTAAAAACCCAATGGTGGGGACAGACTCATGAACAAATTGCTTTAGTCCCATACAGATTTAAATGCCACAGTGAAGGATGCGTGAGGAAGAGAGCAGAGAAGTATATGGGCCTGCTTGGAGCGGATTCTGGAAGGTTACCTTGAAGAAGTGTGGAAGGAGAAGGTGGTGGGACTGGAGAAGTTTCTGGAGCGCTCTTAGCACCTTGCCCCTCCCTTGGGGATGCCCTACCACAGCTGCTAGGTAGGAGGGAAGAAGGTGTGAGGAAATGGGGCCCTGGAGAGGTCTATAGTGGCCTGACTGGGACTCAGACCTGTGTCTTCTGATTCTCGGCCCAGTGTTATTTCTGTACCTGCACATGGCTTCTCACCCCTTCACCCCAGAGCCGCTGGCCAGAGAGCTCTGTCCTCTGGGCTCTCTACCTACTGACCGAGATTCCTGCTGCCACCATGGCCCTAGGGGCCTGTGCCGTGGGAGGGCCCCGTCCATGGCAGGCCCCGAGGCCTGTGCCCTGGTTTGGTAAATAGGTCAGGCCACTTGCTTGGGGACAGTCCCTGAGCAAGGCCGCACCCTGGCAGGGCTGGAGGATGGCAGGAATGGGGAAGACTGAGCAGGAGGGGGAGGAAGAGCCCTGGCCACACCCTTTCTTCAGTTGTTCAGCTGCTAAGGTGAGAAGCTCCCTCTGCCCTGGGTAGGCCCCTGCCTCAGCTGGAAGAGGCCAGACAAGGGCCCCACCAGGGTCTAGAAACCCCTCTTCTCCTGATACTAGAATCCCCTTCTGAGCCAGCGCACAAGAGCCTAGTATCGTTCACATTCCCATTTGTGTGTGGTCAGGCTCTGGTCTTTCTTTTTTTTAATTATTTTTTATTTATTGGTTTGACAGAGAGAGAGAGATCACAAGTAGGCAGAGAGGCAGGCAGAAACAGAGAGGGAAGCAGACTCCCTGCTGAGCAGAGAGCCCGATGCGGGGCTCAATCCCAGGATCCTGGGACCATGACCTGAACCAAAGGCAGAGGCTTAACCCACTGAACCACCCAGGCACCCCCAGGGTCTGGTCTTTCTAGAAAGCTCCTTGCCAGGACTCAGGGAGCTGGGAGTGCTTTTCTTGACCTTTTCCCTGGGAAATGTGTATGTCTGCAAGGGGAGAGTGTGGGCCACCTGTACAAGATGTTGGCTTTCAGGAGAGGCGGGGGCCGTTCTGATGGCATATTAGAATGGTGCTGGAGCCCCCCTCCCCCAGCCCAAGAATGTTCTGGGGGCAGGGAGCTGGCGGTGGTCTGAGGCACCCCTTTCTCTCTGGCTTGGAGATATTTGGTTGGTGGGTGGGCTGCCCAGAGCTCTGGAGGATTCTGGACCAACAGGCAGGGGAATGTCAGAGCCCAGAAGAGTAAGTCTCCCAGTGGCCCTGAAGTTCCCATTAAAGTGTTTTTTCCTCTTTTTTAAAGAAAAAAATATTCCCAAACTGGAAAACAAAGGAAATCCACTTCCCCCAAATCACACGAAACTCACATTAGGGGCTTGGCGGGAATCCATGGAAACCAGGAAACCCGCTGTTAACCCTGTATGGTGCCGAAGGGTGGGGTGGGAGCCAGGCTGATTCAAGCCCCGGGGCCACTGTCACTGGCCCATCACGGTGGCAGTGCCCCAGAGCAGAGGCAGGGGGGAGCTGCTGCTGAGACCTCTCACCTTCACAGCCCAACCACCGCTTCCACTCTGGGCCCAACCTTGGGAGATAGGAGAGGAGGGGTTCCTGCCCTCCAGGGAGGCTCGGGGATCCAAGGGCTGGGTCATGTTGGAGAACCCACTGCTTGCTGCCCACACCACACCACACCATGGAGACAGGCTGAGCACACTCACACGCTCTGGGAGCACACAGGCACCCTGGACGCTGCCATCCCCCAGCCAAGGAGGGGAAGGAAGGGACCGGAATTTCAGCCACCACCCTCCCTGATGCCAACCCCATGTGCAAGGGGGGTGGGTGTGGGAGCAGATAGAGAACCCCCTTGGGGATTCCACACCCCACTCCCATCCATGCGGCCGGACCTCTGGGCCTGGAAGCTTGTGCACCGAGGTCAGGTGCTGTGCTTGTGTTTGAACGCGCACTGGCCGATTTTTCTAAAAAGGCTGAAAATATTTACGGATTTGAAGTTGAAATGCAAACAGGAAAAGCCCTTTTAAAAAGTGAGTGTAGTGGATATTCAAAACAGGAATCACCATGGAAACACCACAATATTTGCTTAAATTGACACAAAGGTTGCCGGTAGCAGGGCACCAACTTTCTTTGGCCACCTTTTTTTGGCCCGCCACCTATGACACGAATCTCCGCAGCCCCTCTCGGTATGTGCCTGCGTCCTCTGTTCTGTTCAGTGGGGATGAGATGGCACGGGGCCAGCACGATTGGTGGGGAGTTGGGGGCGGGGGGGCAGAAGAAACCAAACTGACCATCCGGGGTCGTTGCAGAGACACCTGTCGATTCCGTTTTTAGAGACTCCCACACGGCCACTGGGGGGTCATGAGAGCAGCTGGGAGCTGGTCTGGGGAAAGTCTGGAGGGAGTGGAGGCTGGAGAGCCCAAGGCTTCGTGCGGTTGCGTGGCTCTGATCTGGCCTCCAGGGTCCGAGCGATCCATTGTCAGGCTGACCTTCCCCCTGGGGCGCGGAGCTTTGGGTGCGATCCCTCTGTTACCAGCCGGGGTGGCATCTGATCGGCCTATCATGGCTCCTACCTGTCTGATTCTTTTGTTCAGTGGCACAGCTGCTTAGCGATTGGCTAGTGATTGTGCAAAGGGGGCCCTGGTCGTCGGGTCGATCACGGACGTAGCATGGCGATGCGGTCTGCTGACTGGCAGGCAGAGTCCGAGGCTCTCTTACCAGCAACTGCTGGCAGGTTGCGGTGTGAGATGTCGGCATCACGCCATCTGTTGTCCTCTTCCCTGGAATAGTTTTGTGGGTCTCCACTGTAGCCTAATAATCTGTTCTCCCTCTTCGTTCTGGTAGGCAAACAGAACTCGTTGACTGAAAGCAAAGACTCCTTCCATCTCACCTGCCCTTTCAGCCGCCACGGTTGTCAACCCCCTCCCATAGAAGGGGATCCTGTAACCCCAGCATTGGAGTGGACTTCGGACACCGGCCTCTTGGGATGCAAAGGTAGCTGCTCCTGATGCCCAGGATATGGTTGGGAAATGGGGGTGGGGGCTGTGCTTGGCCAGTTTGGGGCTTCCTTCTTAGAAGAAGGCACAAGGAGGCCCTTCTCAGAGGGTTCTGACCTGGATGGCGGCAGCTCAGGCACCCTAGGTGAAAATAAGAAGATGTAGGATTGAGGACAGAGCCCTGGCCTAGGAACAGGACCAGGCGTATTGGCCCTGGCTTTGACATTGAGTCTCTGCTTTCTCCCCTCCAGATCTGGTTTGGCCATGGGTAAAATAAGGATATTAGAATAACTGGCCTTTAAAATCCTCCCAACATTACCAGTGTATGACATTGAATGGTGCCAGCAGCACGCGGGTGCTGTAGGCAAGGCCTGTGCCCTAGCAGACAGCACTCCTGGAGCTAAGTGTTGGGTCATTTCTGTGCATCCTCTCTGGGAGCCATAGGTCTGGTCCGTCTGCAAGCCAGAGGTCACAGAGCTGCTCTGAGCTCAGGTGTGACTTGTGGGAGCTCTTATGGGTGGTCCTGCAGCCCAGGCAGGACCTTCCTGAGAGGAGAAGCCACAGGTGTCTTTTTTTTTTTCCCCCTGGAGATTTTATTCATTTATTGAGAGAGTTTGTGTGTGTGTGTTTGTGTGTGTGTATATGCAAGCCCAGGGAGGGGCAGAGGAAGAGAGAGAATCTCAAGCAGACTCTGCTGGGCACACAGCCCGGAGCCCAGTGCTGGGCTCGATCCTAAGGCCCTGACATCACGACCTGAGCCAAAATCAAGAGTCTGATTCTCAACCAGCTGAGCCACCCAGGCACATCCCACGGGTGTCTTTTGATCCCGGCTCAGAAATTGCCCCTCGCCGAAAGCCTGTCCCTTACAGCAGGGAAGGGTCGTATGTGAGGCTAGTGCTGTCAGACATCTCCCTGCAGGCAGCAGACTTGGTGGGTTTTGTGGTGGGAGGTTGCCACACAGCGGGTGACTTACCATGTGTTGGTCCTTGTTCAGTGTTCCCTTGGGATCCCAAGGAAGCCAGTCCAGAGGGGTTGGGTGCTGATGAAGTTGATGGGAATGGTGTTAGGACAGGGGCCAAGGTGGAGGGTCTAGAAAATGGCAGGGAGGGCAAGGCTGTAAGCCACTCCTTCTGTGTGCGCCGGATGGGAGTCAGCAGCCCCAACTTACTTACCAGTCCCGTCCCTCCCCGTGGGTGCCATGGGCAGGTGTGTCTTGCCCCTCCCTCCGTGGCCAGGCTCTGCAACTCTGGACTTTGAACTTCCAGGGAGGAAGCACTTGGCAGTGATGGGTACGTTGGTGCCCACTGGGGTTTGAGAGGTCCCTGAAGCTGTGGGCCTGCTTCGTTCCGGGCCATGCCACCTCAGGGACCAGCAGAAGCCTTGGATACAGAGCAGGGATTTGCAAATCAGATGTAAATGTCGCCTTGGGTTACTGCAGTGGAGCAACTGGGTGGCCGAGACTCTCCTTCCTGGTGTCTAGAATGCAATCACACGCCGGGAGTTGGTCCATCCGCATTTAAGATGTGCCGCCATTGTCCTCTGATGGCAGTGTCGAGACTCTTGGCATCTCGGTCTTGCTGGGTGTTTGGCATGAGCACCTGGATGGCTCTACACTTCTTGGGTCCTTCTTGCCTGACTCGGCACCTCTGATGATCAGGGGTCCTGAGAAAGCAGGCCCATGTGTCTTCAAGCCTCCGGCTGGCCTCCCAGGCCCCATCTGGGCCCAACTCACGAGCAGGTTGCCAAAGTGCGTGTGGCCCCCTTTGAAGGGGGACTGTTGCCTGTTCTGTTCTCAGTGGCAGGCTTTTTGTTTTCTTCGTTCCCTCAGCAAAACATGCCTATTAGTTTTTCCCTTTCTGAAGTTTCCACTCATTGTTGACTCCCAGGGGTCAGGCTGGCCTAGGGGACGGGCTTCACGAGTCCTGTGGGGCTCCCGCATCCTGGCATCGGCCGTCTAAGGCTTCATACTAAAGCTTGGGAACTCCGAGGGCCCTGAGAGGGGATGCCGTGGCTAAGCCGCTCTGTCTTCGCCCACCTCTTCCCAGGGACTGGGTTTGGCCACAGGCCCACGTCCTCTGGGACAGGGCTGACCCATGGTCTCAGAAGGGTCCTTCCTCACCACCCCGGAGTGTGGGCCAGGAGCAAGTCTACACTCAGGCCCTGTCCACAGGCCTGCTCCTGTCTAGTTCAGACTCTCCCCATTTCTGGCCGTGCCGCGTAATATCTGGTTATGTTTAATCAACAGAAACCGAGGGCCTGTCTTCCAGTCATTAGGGGTAGAGTGGAGAAAACAGTTCTGACTCTTATGGACATCACTCGGATGTCCCGAGTGGCCCTTTTGAGGAGGTGACAGGCAGCTGAGATGGAAGGAGAGGAAGTAGACAGCCATCGGAGGTGCAGGTAGAATATTCCAGAAAGAAAACAACTGGTCAAAAGGTCCTGAGGTGGTCTGAGCTCAGTACATTTGGTAACAGACGGGAAGGTCCTAGTGGCCGGGACGGGGACCGGGTTTGTAGGTGTCGCTGAGCCCAGGCAAGCTGGCGTTTTATTCTTCAGGTGACAGGAAGCCGCTGGAGGGTTTTCAGCACAGAGGGAAAGCAATCTGGGTTTTGCTTTGAAAACTGGCTGGGGCTGCAGCGGGAAGACTGGATTGCACAGGGGACGGGGAAAAAGCAGGAGGCCCAAGGGGAGACTGCTGTGGGCGCTGACACCAGGAGGTGGGCCGCCCTGAAGGGCTCAGGGTCCATGCATTGAGAGGGAGGGTGATTAGCACTTGCTGTGGGAGCGAACTGTGAAGAGAGGAGCCAGGCCAGCCCCAGATTCCGGGCGCCCTGATGTCGCCCCGCATCTCCTCCCCTCTCTTGCCCCCACCCTGCCAGTGCCAGGAACTTCCCAGGCCTTTCAGAGGCCTTGTGTTTTGTGGATTAGGGAGAAGCACCACCCGGGGCCCGGGGCTGGTTGCTGAGAGAGCGTGGTTGAGTGGGTTAGGCACATCTTGGCCGGCACTGTGCAGAGGGAAGGCCAGAGGCCCGCTCATCTCTGGCATCATTTTCAGCTGGGATTTCCAAGCTCGCCATCCTTTTGGCCCCGAAGACTGCACTGGAGCCTGGTTTGTGCCTCTGCTCCATGGGATCGGTGCTGGGTCTGAGGTTGGGTCTAGTTCATATTGCTCTTGTCACTGTGGTCTTGAACAGGATCTGTGTTCTCAAGGGCTGAGCATCTGCGTACCCTCCCCCAGGCTTCCAGTCACCCAGGACCGAGGAAAGGATTTGTCTAAGACCTCATTTCCGCTGGGGCCATCTCAGCTCCCAGCCCCAGCATATGGGCAGGGATCCTGGCAGTCCTTGCATGTAGCAAGTCTTTTCACAATTCACAGTGTGGATTCCCATGGGTACCCCCATAAGATTTGATTTGGGCCACTGTCCCTTTTCTCTGGGCCTCTGATACAAGGCTCGATGCTCCTGGGTCTTGGTATCATCTGCTGGGGCTCAGGTGAGACAGGCAACCCCAAACAGTGATGCTATCACAGGGAAGTGACCCTGGGCCCTCCTCGCTGAGTGTCACGCATCCCAAACAGCAAGCCAGAGGTCTGGCGGGAGGGAGCACGGAGCTGTCACAGCCGGCTGCGGGGGCCCCAGTGAGTACTTGCCCATGTTGGCAACATATTCCCAGCCATATGGGCCAGCTCAGCCCTCCAGGAAAGCTCTGGAGGCTTGACCTCCAGGGGGAGTGACAGGAGGGAGCAGAAGGGCACGCTGGCGACATCTCGCAGAGGGTGACAGGGATATCCCGAGCGGGCAGCTGGTGCCTCCGCCTGGCTCTGAGCGGGTGGCAGCCAGCCTTCCTGGGTGTGTCTGCCAACATCAGAACGCTGGGCTGAGCCCCAGGGGAGGGTGCATCTGGGCGGGCAGCCGTGTGTGTCTGCGTCTGCGCGCATGGGAGGCTCTTTGGCTTTCTGCCTCCATGGCCTGTACTAGATCCGTGGCCTTCACTCGTAACCAGACTGGACAGTTCTAATTCCTTCCTCCCGGGCTCTGATCTGATGTGGGGCTGGCCACTTGAGGCCAGCAGCTGGGCTAGGGGGTGATCAGGAGAGGAGCTGGCTGCGGGACTTGGGGGCCCGAGCCCTCTGCCCCCCACCCGGAGCACTTTTCGCCTGGGGGGATGGCTGAACACAAGGCTTGGGAAGTGTCATTGATCCTTCTGGTTTCTATCTGGGGTGGGACTTCAGCCCTGATGTTGTGGACTCCCCAGCCCTGGACCTGCTTTCTCAGTTCTCCCTTGTCTCCTAGCAGACTCAGAAATCAGGAAGCCCCTGGGTCCCACCAGGTGCAGACCCAAGGGGAAAGGGATGGGGAAGGACCAGCCGTTCCTACCTGCCTGGAGCTACCTCGGAGCCTCTCTTCATTTGGTGACGCCCATAGCTTTGGGAGGGTTAATGTACGGTGGACAAGGCAAGAAGCCCTTCTGCCCTGCCTCCATCCTCGTGACCTTGGGGCCTCCACAGGGAGAGCGCTCGGGTGCTGTTGGAAGACCACCATCGGTCTGCTCCCAGAGAGGAAGTCCGGGGGGCTGTGAACACGTCATCCTTTCTGGCAGATCTTGGGGCTTCTGCAGATCTTGTTTTCCTCATCTTCTCTGGGCTCTATTATCCCAGAATCTACCCAGGTGTAGAAAGGTCTAGAAAGCCCTCCAGCCCAGAGGACACCACACGGAGGCCTGGGGCAGCCCAGTGTGGAGACCCTTGTGTGGCCACTTCACTCCACCAGCTACTGCTTCTCCGATAAATCAGCTCCGGGCAGGTTCCTCACCTTCCACTCCCCACTCAAGTTTTCTCTCATTTGGTTTCCTGGCCCCTAGGGAGCAGGTGCCTTTTCTGCCCCTGAGCCTCCATATGGCAACCTGGGGTTGGGACCCCTGTGGCCAGGGCGAGTGGAAATGGGAAGGTGTAATTAATCACTAGTTTCTCCTCCAGAAATGCTAATCGGGAGAAGCAAT